TAAACCAGCTGACTGCCTTCCGCCATGTTCTTGACTACGTCATAATCCAAGGTGACACAATTTCCTGACTCGTAGACGGCGTTAATATCTTCATACAAGCCTAAAGTGATGTTCCCCATCACTCTCACTTTCTGATCGCCGCTGCTAGAACAAAACTCGACTTCATACTTGTACTTGGAAGCGTCTTCTATGGGTCCAATGTACTGTACCACGACGTAGAACAGTTTTTTGATGGTATGAAGTCTCTGTCGGTAAAGGAACACTTCTCCGAAAGCGAAAATTGCCCTAAACGCAAATAAAATATAAAACAAATGTGAAAAATGAGGTCCTAACGGCGGTGAAGTTGGTATTCTGGGTTGTAACGGAGTTCAGTCCTGAAGATGGTAGTTGTACTTCTTCCGAAACGTTTATATCTATCAAACGTCCGGGCGGCGTTACAACCCATTAGACCAAGTTCGAAAAAGATTTGTTATTCTGTAAATTTCACTGGGCTTTATATTACTGAGGATTAACACCTGCTATAGAAACTTAAAATTACAGATCCTTGTATATTATTAGATACACACCATATCGAAATGTGGCACTATTTCAAATAAAGGTTGTACTTGTAACCGAACTCTAGGTCTGTATTTACCTAAGTGGTTCAAACATGTTCCGAAATATTTATCAAGACGTACCAATAAATCTGTTCTAGTATTGAAAATGTTCCGGGTTCGATTCCATCCGTCATAAAAATAAAATGCAAAACAAATACATTTGTATGACGATCAGTCAAGTGAAGCCAGATGTACATAGATGATGCATATCAAATTGAGGTTACATCAGACAGTGAAACTAATGAATGAATCGCTGTCACAATACTTAGAGAACCATATCATCATTTTCATCTCAGTTTCTTCCATACCTGGTGTCTTTAACAACGAGGGGAAGTTCCCAACGGCAATTATTTCCTCTTCCTTCCAGAATCTTTTCACGATGTGTCTGTGACACGTGCCTCCAGATTTCTCCCCGAAGTCCCGTCCACTGACATTCCAACGGGCAGCCATATCTAGTAAAAACGTAACGATATAATTAGACGGTCTGTGTGTAGAGGCGCAACATGCTAGTAGTAAAGAGTAGCGCTTTTAACGGATATAAACGCAACTACTACGTATTGCTTACTCTGGCTCTGTTGGCTGTGGCAGAGGGTGAGTCCCTGCAATACATAATGGCAGTTCCAGGGAACTAGCCAGGCTCTCGAGGGCGAAATTGCGGATCCCAAGCAGAGGCCTTCGACAGGTAGGACAACCGTGAAGTCGCGGCTTGCAAGCTTGACACACACTATGCCCGCTTGCACACATCGTTATGGGAGGTACCATGTACTCCAGGCAAACTGGGCACTCCAAAACGTTCTGCAAGCTCTCTGTCACTTGCGGTCCCTCGAAGGGAGATGTTTTGTCATCAGACATGAACCTAGTTGCAGACGTTCCGCTGGAAAATAAATATCAGGACATGCATACATGCATACATACATCTTTATTACATTCCATGGATCCATAAGTTAGTCAGATGACAATAGGATGTAGAATAAGTCATAATAATACAATACATGTTATACAAATACAAGTCATACTATTATATAAATGTCACAAAAATACAAAGGGTTCACATGAAGTAGAGATAAGTTACAAATAAACCCACTCATTATATACAATAGATAAATTACGACTTACTTGTAAACATTTGAAATTCATCGACAGAGTAAAAGGAGTGTGTAATTAAGTATCTTTTCAATGCTGGTTTAAATTGTGCCTTTTTATTTACAAGACTTGTGAGATTAGATGGTAGACTGTTGAAAATTTTGATCCCTGCATAATATGCACTCTTCTGAAAACATGAGAGGTTGGCAATTGGTCTATGAAGCTGATTT